AATGATGTATTGTCTGACTATGATTGATGTATTGTCTCACTATGAATGATGTATTGTCTGACTATAAATGATGTATTGTCTGACTATGAATGATGTATTGTCTGACTATGAATGATGTATTGTCTGACTATGAATGATGTGTTGTCTGATTATGAATGATGTATTTTCTGACTATGAATGATGAAAACAAATCATGTGATAAAGACCATCCTTGTTTATAAGCAGATTCTTGCTGTCAGTACACTAGCATTCCTTATACTTACTATTGTCACACCTGTAGTCTCTGATGGTAACCTGATTACATGACCTGGAACTAAAGCCTGGCTAATCATTTACGTATGTCATCTTCATGGTCTAGATAAGAAACACTATAACCACCTTGGCATGGGAACAGTCAGTAGGGGTACATGATGATTTCTGCGACAGAAGACTGAACACACATGTGAACGCAGTCTGTACAGTTGAGTTAACCCTACCAGACCTGAGGCCCTGAACCTAACTGCTCCCTATACCTGAGTTCCTGGGCATTAACCATACCAGACCTGAGGCCCTGAACCTAACTGCTCCCTATACTTGAGCTCCTGGGCATTAACCATACCAGACCTGAGGCCCTGAACCTAACTGCTCCCTATACCTGAGCTCCTGGGCATTAACGCGAAACAACCAACATGATATACAAAAATATTAGTTACATACAAACAAGTGGCTGGAATAAGATTAAAACTAGAGACGTTGTAGAAAACAGGTTTACCTTTCATCTATCGCCAATATTCCACCTTTGTGTGCCAATCCACTCTGCTTAATCAGCCTTGTTTCACAAAGTGAGCACCACATGTTGCTGTCTAAGGGACACAACCCCTTCTCTTACTATAGATCTAGTCTCAAATCTATATTTTTCAAGATTCTCCTCATCACTGGAGCTCTCACTGATTGTGTCAGTTCAACTGGGAATGTATTCTTTATGAAATTCTGACTTTTCAGAGTCTGAATGAACCAAAGTATCAATCACCTGTTGGACTGTGAAAAGCCGAGACCTACTTTCCTCTTCATGTGCTTGGTTCATTAACCGCTCATTTCATTGTGAATTTTCAGAATTGTTTCACGTTAAACCACACAAAGTCAATCCAAACACATGCGGGCAGTCATTCGCAATGAATAACCATGAGGTTTGATCATGATTGGTTGGTTATTTTTAGTTTGTGAAGCGTTTTATCATGAGGTACGCAAAGTACCGAAAATTATGTACAACGGTTTATCTGAAATGAAGCGTTTTATCACGTAGTATGTTAAGTACTGGAAATTAGGTACAACGGTTTATCTGCAGCTTAGGAAATTACCAGAAATGTGGTATAGCGGTCTGGTAGAGTTAATGATGATAATACAAGATTACAATAGTCAGCATTGTGAAAAGTGTCTGGATGCTTCATTTTCTCTAAGCCTGGTAAATGGTCTGTTCAAGCATTTCTCCATTTACATTTATCCATGAGCATAGACACAGTAATTATTGCATGCCTAAGTTCTTTGTTTCCAGTCAACTGTAAATTTGTTGAGTTATACTATCACTGCTACCCTTTTACTGTTTTTTCAGAGGACCATCTCAGCCAGACATTTTTGAAGACCTGCCTGGCAAGCCAGAGAAAGTAGAACTGCCACCAGAAGCTGGCAAGATTCAAGAGAGCATCCTGCAGGTGCTCAAGAAGGTGAGCTGCGGCCGTCAGTCTTGCAGGATAGATAGACTTGTCACATTTCACAGGATAGATAGACTTGTCACATTTCACAGGTTAGATAGACTTGTCAAATTTCACAGGATAGATAGACTTGTCACATTTCACAGGATAGATAGACTTGTCACATTTCACAGGATAGATAGACTTGTCACATTTCACAGGATAAATAGACTTGTCACATTTCACAGGATAGATAGATTTGTCACATTTCACAGGATAGATAGACTTGTCACATTTCACAGGATAGATAGACTTGTCACATTTCACAGGATAGATAGATTTGTCACATTTCACAGGATAGATAGACTTGTCACATTTCACAGGATAAATAGACTTGTCACATTTCACAGGATAGATAGTCTTGTCACATTTCACAGATGTTCACGTGAGCTGCGGCCGTCAGTCTTGCAGGATAGATAGACTTGTCACATTTCACAGATGTTCACAATAGTTCTCTGCACGTTTTCTAGTCTTAGGATGTGGATTAAAATGCTAGCCTTTTCAGATAAGTACTCGAGGTAGGTCTAAATTTCAGATCATCTGAGTTAGGAATTTGAAATACAAATAATCAAATGATACTCTAATTCTACCCTAGGGTAAAGTGAATAAATAAACATGAAAACGGAGTAAACACTGTATGTAAACAACCGAGGGTCTATAAATATGCTTATGTGGACAAATGGGAGCAATATTGTAGGAAAATAAAAACAAAGTAGAAAATTTGAAAAAAATATTCCTGGCAATAACTCCAGAAGCTGAGGACCTAGGTCAGTTCAGTCCTGCCCCAGACAAATTGTTAAAAAGGACAAAGGCAGGGGTTAAGCAGTTTCCTAACCATATATGGTTGTGTTTATACATTTCTTATTATTTAAATTATATAGTAATTGTTATTTGCCATTCAGCACATTTTTATTATTATTGTTGTTATATTTCAGTTATTAGGCAGACAGAAAGGCTGGTTCTGAGCCATTTGGTTGTAATTCAGTGAATGTGAGATGCTGGATGTGAGATGTTGGATGTGAGATGTTGGATGTGAGATGTTGGATGTGAGATGTTGGATGTAAGATGTTGGATGTGAGATGTTGGATGTGAGATGTTGGATGTGAGATGTTGGATGTGAGATGTTGGATGTGAGATGTTGGATGTGAGATGTTGGATGTGAGATGTTGGATATGATGAGGCACAGATGGATCAGCACAGTCTGAGGTGAATGTGAGATGCTAGATGTGAAGAGGCACAGATGGATCAGCACAGTCTGAGGTGACTGTGAGATGCTGGATGTGAAGAGGCACAGGTGGATCAGCACAGTCTGAGGTGAATGTGAGGTGCTGGATGTGAAGAGGCACAGATGGATCAGCACAGTCTGAGGTGAATGTGAGATGCTGGATGTGATGAGACACAGATGGATCAGCACAGTCTGAGGTGACTGTGAGATGCTGGGTGTGAAGAGGCACAGATGGATCAGCACAGTCTGAGGTGAATGCGAGATGCTGGATGTGACGAGACACAGATGGATCAGCACAGTCTGAGGTGACTGTGAGATGCTGGATGTGAAGAGGCACAGATGGATTAGCACATTCTGAAGAGAATGGTAGAGCTGGGAGTGACGAGGCACAGATAGATCAGCACAGTCTGAAGAGAATGGTAGAGCTGGGAGTGACACAGATAGATCAGCACAGTCTGAAGAGAATGGTAGAGCTGGGAGTGATACAGATAGATCAGCACAGTCTGAAGAGAATGGTAGAGCTGGGAGTGACACAGATAGATCAGCACAGTCTGAAGTGAATGGTAGAGCTGGGAGTGAGACAGATGGATCAGCACAGTCTGAAGAGAATGGAAGAGCTGGGAGTGAGACAGATCAGCACAGTCTGAAGAGAATGGTAGAGCTAGGAGTGACCAGGGGATCTGGTTGTCATTTAACACTTACAGAATAACATACTCCCCAATGTATGCCCCAATGTACACCTTAATGTACACACCAATGTATGCCCCAGTGTACACCCCAATGTACACCTTAATGTACATACCAATTAATGCCCCAGTGTACACCTCAATGTACACACCAATGTACACACCAATGTATGCCCCAGTGTACACCCCAATGTTCACACCAATGTATGCCCCAGTGTACACCTCAATGTACACCTCAATGTACACCTCAATGTACACACCAATGTAAGCCCCAGTGTACACCCCAATGTACAGCTCAATGTACACACCAATGTATGCCCCAGTGTACACCTCAATGTACACACCAATGTATGCCTCAGTGTACACCTCAATGTACACACCAATGTATGCCTCAGTGTACACCTCAATGTACACACCAATGTATGCCTCAGTGTACACCTCAATGTACACACCAATGTATGCCTCAGTGTACACCTCAATGTACACACCAATGTATGCCTCAGTGTACAATCATATTTACACCTCAGTGTTCACACCAGTGTATGCCCCAGTGTACACCCCAATGAACACCTCAATGTACACACCAATGTATGCATCAATGTACGCCCCAATCATGGCACCAATGTTTGTTTGTTTTTGTTTTTTTAATATATGCCCCTCTTTTTTAATGAGATCATGGGCAAACAGCTGGTGGAAAAAAAAGAGGGCGGGGGGGAGGGGGGGGGGGGGACATTGTGCAATACAAAAAAGGCAATTATCTTTCTTACAGGATGTGGATGTGATGGGGGGGGGGGGGGGGGGGGGGGGGAGGGGACATTGTGCAATACAAAAAAGGAAATTATTTTTCTTACGGGATGTGTTGGATAGAAATACAGATGGGGCATGTCCAAGAAGAAGAAAAAGTCCAGCAAGCGGACATTGTAAACATTCCTGTATTATAGTTGGTTTTTGAGCCTTTTCCTTTTTGTTCTAGGGCAGTTCATCTTATATTTTATTTGAATTTTTTTTTAAAGCCAATTCAGGGAGTGTTTGCAGAGCAGTCAACCATAAGCCAGTCAGTGAGAGATCAAAGTAAGTCAGAGAGAGATCAAAGTTAGTCTGTGAGAGATCAAAGTAAGTCAGTGAGAGATCAAAGTAAGTCAGTGAGAGATCAAAGTAAGTCAGTGAGAGATCAAAGTAAGTCAGTGAGAGATCAAAGTAAGTCAGTGAGAGATCAAAGTAAGTCAGTGAGAGATTAAAGTAAGTCAGAGAGAGATCAAAGTAAGTCAGTGTTCTGCTGACATAATTTACTGTCTGCTAGTTTCTGTTTCAAATGTATACAAGTTACACAATTAATTCAGTTCAATCCAGCATTCCATAGCATTATTGCTCTCTAGACATGTCTGTGATCTCTCCATGCATGTCTGTGGTCTCTCCAGGTATGTCTGTAGTCTCTCCAGGCATGTCTGTGGTCTCTCCAGGCATGTCTGTAGTCTCTCCAGGCATGTCTGTGATCTCTCCATGCATGTCTGTGGTCTCTCCATGCATGTCTATAGTCTCTCCAGGCATGTCTGTGGTCTCTCCAGGTATGTCTGTGGTCTCTCCAGGCATGTCTGTGGTCTCTCCAGGCATGTCTGTGGTCTCTCCAGGCATGTCTGTGGTCTCTCCAGGCATGTCTGTGGTCTCTCCAGGCATGTCTGTGGTCTCTCCAGGTATGTCTGTGGTCTCTCCAGGCATGTCTGTAGTCTCTCCAGGTATGTCTGTGGTCTCTCCATGCATGTCTGTGGTCTCTCCAGGTATGTCTGTGGTCTCTCCAGGTATGTCTGTAGTCTCTCCAGGTATGTCTGTAGTCTCTCCAGGCATGTCTGTAGTCTCTCCAGGCATGTCTGTAGTCTCTCCAGGCATGTCTGTGGTCTCTCCAGGCATGTCTGTGGTCTCTCCAGGCATGTCTGTAGTCTCTCCAGGCATGTCTGTGGTCTCTCCAGGCATGTCTGTGGTCTCTCCAGGCATGTCTGTGGTCTCTCCAGGCATGTCTGTGATCTCTCCAGGCATGTCTGTGATCTCTCCAGGCATGTCTGTGGTCTCTCCAGGTATGTCTGTGGTCTCTCCATGCATGTCTGTGGTCTCTCCAGGCATGTCTGTGGTCTCTCCAGGTATGTCTGTGGTCTCTCCAGGTATGTCTGTGGTCTCTCCATGCATGTCTGTGGTCTCTCCAGGCATGTCTGTGGTCTCTCCAGGTATGTCTGTGGTCTCTCCAGGCATGTCTGTGGTCTCTCCAGGCATTTCTGTAGCCTCTCCAGGCATGTATGTGGTCTCTCCAGGCATGTCTGTGGTCTCTCCAGGCATGTCTGTGGTCTCTCCAGGCATGTCTGTGGTCTCTCCAGGCATGTCTGTGGTCTCTCCAGGCATGTCTGTGGTCTCTCCAGGCATGTCTGTGGTCTCTCCAGGTATGTCTGTGGTCTCTCCAGGCATGTCTGTGGTCTCTCCAGGCATGTCTGTGGTCTCTCCATGCATGTCTGTGGTCTCTCCAGGCATGTCTGTGGTCTCTCCAGGCATGTCTGTGGTCTCTCCAGGCATGTCTGTGGTCTCTCCAGGCATGTCTGTGGTCTCTCCAGGTATGTCTGTGGTCTCTCCAGGCATGTCTGTAGTCTCTCCAGGCATATCTGTGGTCTCTCCAGGCATGTCTGTGGTCTCTCCAGGTATGTCTGTGGTCTCTCCATGCATATCTGTGGTCTCTCCAGGCATGTCTGTGATCTCTCCAGGCATGTCTGTGGTCTCTCCATGCATATCTGTGGTCTCTCCAGGTATGTCTGTGATCTCTCCAGGCATGTCTGTGGTCTCTCCAGGTATGTCTGTGGTCTCTCCAGGTATGTCTGTGGTCTCTCCAGGCATGTCTGTGGTCTCTCCAGGCATGTCCATGGTCTCTCCAGGTATGTCTGTGGTCTCTCCAGGTATGTCTGTGGTCTCTCCAGGTATGTCTGTAGTCTCTCCATGCATGTCTGTAGTCTCTCCATGCATGTCTGTAGTCTCTCCAGGCAAGTCTGGGCTCTCCATGCATGTCTGTAGTCTCTCCATGCATGTCTGTAGTCTCTCCAGGCAAGTCTGGGCTCTCCATGCATGTCTGTGATCTCTCCATGCATGTCTGTAGTCTCTCCAGGCAAGTCTGGGCTCTCCATGCATGTCTGTAGTCTCTCCAGGCAAGTCTGGGCTCTCCATGCATGTCTGTAGTCTCTCCATGCATGTCTGTAGTCTCTCCAGGCATGTCTGTAGTCTCTCCATGCATGTCTGTAGTCTCTCCAGGCAAGTCTGGTCTCTCCATGCATGTCTGTAGTCTCTCCAGGCAAGTCTGGTCTCTCCATGCATGTCTGTAGTCTCTCCAGGCAAGTCTGGTCTCTCCATGCATGTCTGTAGTCTCTCCAGGCAAGTCTGGTCTCTCCATGTATGTCAGTAGTCTCTCCAGGTATGTCTGTAGTCTCTCCAGGCATGTCTTGGCTCTCCATGTATGTCTGTGGTCTCTCCATGCATGTCTGTGGTCTCTCCAGGCATGTCTTGGCTCTCCATGTATGTCTGTGGTCTCTCCAGGCATGTCTTGGCTCTCCATGCGTGTCTGTGGTCTCTCCAAGAATGGTATTGCCTTTCAAATGTGTAAAGGTATGTCATGTTCTGAATTTCCTTACTGTAAACAATAAAAAAAATATCTATGTAAATTGATCTATTACTTTATTTTCTCTCCAGTATGAATTCTGCTAGATCTTTTAATGATGTCTCCAAGTTATTTGTTTTTCATAACTGTTTTGTAATCGGACCCTTGATGCTATATTTGTTAAATCATCTGTTTGTCTTTGTATGTCACTGCAGTTCTTACTTTGCAGAACAATATCATCTGCACATCTGATTCTACAGTTGTATGTTCTTCACAGATTCAGTTGTGATATTTTCTTCTCAACATTGTCTCATATCAGTTTTGTGTATGCTTGCTTAGTGTGACGTAACGGCCCACTTCCCTTAAGATTACAAAACTTTAGTGTAATGTAACAGGTCGTGGGTTCCCTGGATTTGGGTTTAACTGAATTTTATATGTTGAGTAGGGAATTTTCCTCTCAACACATGCCCTCCACCAGATTAACTGAACTATTATCCGCGCTATGTTGCTCTCAGACAAAGTCCTGGATATCCAAGAAAACAGCCATATTGGCTCGTTATTTATATTAACTTTAGCTGCACTTGGTACCCACAAGAGAAGGAAATGGGTTTTAGATGTCTATATATTATTATGTAGAATGATTTACTAGACAGAGCAGTTGACCCATTCCGTCGACCTTCCCTTGGTAAAGAATTAGTATTATTATTATTCAATGAGCCCCCACCAAATGCTATTCTATCTTAACAGTTTAATTAAACATGTAAGAACAGACACACTTGGAATTATAAAAACTGATGCAGGATAAAACCATATAATTGATTTATTAACCTAGCAATCATTTTAGTTATTTATCTTTTTAGTCAATAGTGATGGTATGGTGGTAATGGGATGCTTCAGCTAGATAACTGAGCACCTAAGATTAGAGTCAAGTGATGGTATGGTGGTAATGGGATGCTTCAGCTAGATAACTGAGCACCTAAGATTAGAGTCAAGTGATGGTATGGTGGTAATGGGATGCTTCAGCTAGATAACTGAGCACCTAAGATTAGAGTCAAGTGATGGTATGGTGGTAATGGGATGCTTCAGCTAGATAACTGAGCACCTAAGACTGGAGTGAAGTGATAATGGTGGGGTTACATAAATACATGTTACATAACTTTTAGAAAGTGGAACCTCTGGGAGTCCTCGTGTTGAGTCCCTTCTTAGCTGTTCCAACCTTTCCGCCCAGTTCTTCTGGTTCTTCCACCTAGTTCCCTGGTTCCCACTTGTTTCCCAGCTGGCCGAGTTCTAACACAATGTAGTCTCGTGCTCTTGATGATCCTCTATTTCTGCACTTAGAAAAGACTGATCGTTACATGGAAGCTGTAATAATGGAACAAACACATACGTGTAGTATCTTGACTTACACTAAGAATAAATGTATTAATTAAAACAAAATATAAAAATTATATCTCATCACTCCTCCTCATATTTCACATTCTCTCCAGTCGAGTCTGAAGGTCTTTGTGTCTCACACCGACGTCTAACATATCCTGCCTTCCCTCTCATGTTCTGTCTTGATAGTTGACTTTCTAAGTCTGTTGTCCGTCATCACTTAGACTTCCAACTGGCTGACATTGATCTGACATAAACATGTGGCGTAGGTTATGTGCTGAACACTCAAAACATTTTATACGTGCATGCTGTCCTGAATATTATCTTTCAGTGACAGTGAATAATATACACCCATGATTCTTCCCCTGGGGTTATCAATCCCCTGTTTAGGTGAACACATTTAGTGAGCACATGGTGGGCACATAAAATGTAACAGCATGGCTGCATATGTGGGCATCATTTCCCACAGTCCAAACTCATGTTTTGGTTGATGGTTGAAACATTATAATTTCATTACTTTTTAGGATGCAAGTCTTATTTTATAAACATGAACACATACACTGAAAAACATGTGGCACAAACATACAAGAAATAGAAATGGTTTAGCAGTTCCCTAACGGAGATACTACAAAGAACTATTTCAAGCAGACTGTGTAGACAAATTAGGAAAAGGTAGAATAGGCTTTAGCTAACTCCCTAACCTATGTATACAAGATTTAAAATAATTGTACAAGCTTACCTGGGACATTCCAGCAATCGCCAAACCAGAATCCAACAATTAGAATTACCTCTAATGTGCGACCTGAGTTTGTTGCCTGTGGCAGCGATTATGACGGGAATCCCAGAGGCTAGTATTATTAATACCTCTAACTGTCTGCAAGGTTAAACTCCCCCCTTTACTAGGTTCTACCCAACCCTCCAGGAGATGACCTAAGCCACACCCCTGAAGTACCTTGCAGATCAACATAGCTATCAATGGGTCTGTCACTCAAAGTAAACGGCCTACAGTACGACCTTGACCAAGATCAGACATTCCTAATTGGCAACCATCTGTTCTCCTAAGAATTTCACTGACATGTGTGAAACTCCAGCCACTAGACACCATCATTGTCTAGAGTTGTCTACCAGACCACTTAATTCCCCTGATCTGCTCTGTTAAAAAGGCCCCACTCAGTCTGTATTATGTAACCTTTTATGACACTAAGGTCGGGTTCAGGGGAGATAATCTCAGGTGTGAAAATTAGTTCCCAGTTGCTGGCCCCTACAGTCTGTGGGCAGGAGATAATTATATGACACTGGCTGGTGAAAGGAATCCCTAACTAAGGTAGTATTCAGTAATATTACACAAAGCGGGGTTGCTTTGTCTGGCGAGAGACAGGAAACAAAGTTTAAACAATTTTCAAATCCCTTGTAGTGGTTTTAGAATTATTTTAGGCTCAGTGCATATTGCCTATAATTCTTTGTCCTTCTCTAAAAATAAGAAATTATTAAACACAATATAACTTCTGAGACCACTGAGGTCATTTTGTCACACTTAGTGTGTATGTGCACACGTGGGTGTGTATGTGCACACGTTGGTGTGTATGTGCACATGTGGGTGTGTATGTGCACACATGGGTGTGTATGTGCACACATGGGTGTGTATGTGCACACATGGGTGTGTATGTGCATGCAAGCTCATGCACTAATGTGAAGATGGGCAGGCAGACACTAGTGCATCATATATTTATTACCTGTGCATCATATATTTATTACCAGTGCACAGGCAGACACTAGTGCACCATATATATATTACCTGTGCACAGGAAGACACTGTTGCATCATATATTTATTACCAGTGCACAAGCACACTATTGCATCATATATTTATTACCAGTGCACAGGCAGACACCAGTGCATCATTTATTTATTGTTAGTGCATGGACAGACACTAGTGCATCATATACTTCTTACCAGTGCACAGGCAGACAATATTGCATGAAAGTGTGTCAGCAAGTGAGAAATATTGAGGTGCATTGCAATGACTCTTCATTTATCAATACAGATTCCCCAGTTCAAAGAGCAAGCCCGGTTCACAGTATGGGAAGAGAACCAGACACTGCAGCTAAAGTTGTAGCAACTACAGACAAACCAAAGGTAAGGTCAACAGTTTACTAGTCAGTGGGTTTAGTCAAACCTACAGTAAACAGACAGTGGGAACAGTGAATCCTACAGTAAGCAGACAGTGGGAACAGTGAATCCTACAGTAAACAGACAGTGGGAACAGTGAATCCTACAGTAAACAGACAGTGGGGACAGTGAATCCTACAGTAAACAGACAGTGGGGACAGTGAATCCTACAGTAAACAGACAGTGGGTACAGTGAATCCTACAGTAAACAGACAGTGGGTACAGTGAATCCTACAGTAAAAATTGAGTGGGTACAGTGAATCCTATAGTAAACAGACAGTGGGTACAGTGAATCCTATAGTAAACAGACAGTGGGTACAGTGAATCCTACAGTAAACAGACAGTGGGTACAGTGAATCCTATAGTAAACAGACAGTGGGTACAGTGAATCCTATAGTAAACAGACAGTGGGTACAGTGAATCCTACAGTAAACAGACAGTGGGTACAGTGAATCCTACAGTAAAAATTGAGTGGGTACAGTGAATCCTATAGTAAACAGACAGTGGGTACAGTGAATCCTACAGTAAACAGACAGTGGGTACAGTGAATCCTACAGTAAACAGACAGTGAGGACAGTGAATCCTACAGTAAACAGACAGTGGGGACAGTGAATCCTACAGTAAACAGACAGTGGGGACAGTGAATCCTACAGTAAACAGACAGTGAGGACAGTGAATCCTACAGTAAAAAGACAGTGGGTACAGTGAATCCTACAGTAAACAGACAGTGGGGACAGTTAATCCTACAGTAAACAGTGAGTGGGTACAGTGAATCCTACAGTACACAGACAGTGGGTATAGTGAATCCTACAGTAAACAGACAGTGGGTACAGTGAATCCTACAGTAAACAGACAGTGGGGACAGTGAATCCTACAGTAAACAGACAGTGGGGACAGTGAATCCTACAGTAAACAGACAGTGAGGACAGTGAATCCTACAGTAATCAGTGAGTGGGTACAGTGAATCCTACAGTAAACAGACAGTGAGGACAGTGAATCCTACAGTACACAGACAGTGAGGACAGTGAATCCTACAGTAAACAGTGAGTGGGTACAGTGAATCCTACAGTAAACAGACAGTGAGGACAGTGAATCCTACAGTAAGCAGAGAGTGGGGACAGTGAATCCTACAGTAAACAGACAGTGGGGACAGTGAATCCTACAGTAAACAGACAGTGAGGACAGTGAATCCTACAGTAAGCAGAGAGTGGGGACAGTGAATCCTACATTAAACAGACAGTGAGGACAGTGAATCCTGCAGTAAGCAGAGAGTGGGGACAGTGAATCCTACATTAAACAGACAGTGAGGACAGTGAATCCTACAGTAAGCAGAGAGTGGGGACAGTGAATCCTACAGTAAACAGACAGTGGGGACAGTGAATCCTACAGCAACACCTGTAGAAAGGTGTTCTTGATCATGGGACTTACAACCTTAGTGTGTCCCTTCACACTGTAAGTACAAGTACCCATAGGGCTAGAGCAAGCTCTCAAGGGAGAACAGCTGGTGTGCCCCACTGCATGAGAGACTGGACATCTTCAGCCCTGGACTCAAGGGAGATCAGCTGGTGTGCCCCACTGCATGAGAGACTGGACATCTTCAGCCCTGGACTCAAGGGAGATCAGCTGGTGTGCCCCACTGCATGAGAGATTGGACATCTTCAGCCCTGGACTCAAGGGAGAACAGCTGGTGTGCCCCACTGCATGAGAGACTGGACATCTTCAGCCCTGGACTCAAGGGAGAACAGCTGGTGTGCCCCACTGCATGAGAGATTGGACATCTTCAGCCCTGGACTCAAGGGAGATCAGCTGGTGTGCTTCACTGCATGAGAGACTGGACATCTTCAGCCCTGGACTCAAGGGAGAACAGCTGGTGTGCCCCACTGCATGAGAGACTGGACATCTTCAGCCCTGGACTCAAGGGAGATCAGCTGGTGTGCCCCACTGCACGAGAGACTGGACATCTTCAGCCCTGGACTCAAGGGAGATCAGCTGGTGTGCCCCACTGCATGAGAGATTGGACATCTTCAGCCCTGGACTCAAGGGAGAACAGCTGGTGTGCCCCACTGCATGAGAGACTGGACATCTTCAGCCCTGGACTCAAGGGAGAACAGCTGGTGTGCTTCACTGCATGAGAGACTGGACATCTTCAGCCCTGGATCTCTCTGACCCTTGTGTAATCTGGTGCCAAAGAATCATGGGTGGCTATGTTCACATATAGTTCATCCATGTTACTGAGGGCGCTACAATGGATTACATATACTGGTCACAAAAACATCAAACAGTTAGTAAATACACATTATTTAACAAACAAACATCGACTTCCCTGTGACATCCAGCAGTGGAAAACGTTGCTATCATGTATTTTAACTGGTAAATGATTTGTTTTAAGCGATGTGATCATACGGCCTTGAACAAATCAGAACAACTAGAACTGAAGTGATAGATTCTAGTAGCTTGGGGACATACTGAACAGCAAAGTTAAAATTTATGATTGGGAATGTCTGTTCTCTTTCAGGGAGAGTTGTCTACCCCAGAAAGCAAGTCCACACTGATTGACGATAAAGGAGTGTCCTCTATTTACAACCAACTCAACTACTCACATAATATTAAAAGGTAATTATTCATGTTTTGTCCCCAGAAGTTGACTGGAGAGTTTGAGAAATGTTCCAAGGTCTCATAACTTTTATAAAGCAAAATACTTGCTAAAGTGTTAGAGAATGTGATATACAAGAGCTCCTCACAGAACTGAGTGGGCATCTGGATTAATGGACATCATCAGGGTCTCCTTTGCTAGGCTACCACAGAACAGGTGACTCAGTTGCCCTGACAATTCAACTGTTGCTGCTGGCAGTGACATTATGGTAACAGACAGATGACATCATCCAAAGTGACAATATGGTAACACACAGATGACATCATGCAAAGTGAAATTATGGTAACACACAGATGACATCATGCAAAGTGACATTATGGTAACAGACAGATGACATCATCCAAAGTGACATTATGGTAACAGACAGATGATATCATCCAAAGTGATTGTAACACATGGTTGATTAAGAGAGACTAAGAAGCTCTAGTTCTCCACAGACTGAAAGCAATTACATTGCAGCATGCTGTGTCATCCCAGCTAACAGCAACCAAACATGCTGTGTCATCCCAGCTAACAGCAACCAAACATGCTGTGTCATCCCATCTAACAGCAACCAAACATGCTGTGTCATCCCAGCTAACAGCAACCAAACATGTGCATCAAAACCTCACAGCTCTGGCAACATTCCAGCATTGTTCTTCTCTTACAACAGTTATGTGTTCTATTATAAATGGAACCTGGGCAGTGGGAGGCATTGACAATGAATGTTCTGATTCTCTGTGCTGACCACATCACTCAGTGAGTGTCCTGATTCTCTGTGATGACCACATCACTCAGGGAGTGTCCTCATTGTCTGTGATAACCACATCCCTCAGTGAGTGTCCTGATTGTCTGTGATGACAACATCACTCAGTGAGTGTCCTGATTGTCTGTGATAACCACATCACTCAGTGAATGTTATGATTGTCTTTGATAACCACATCACTCAGTGAGTGTCCTGATTGTCTGTGATGACAACATCACTCAGTGAGTGTCCTGATTGTCTGTGATAACCACATCCCTCAGTGAGTGTCCTGATTGTCTGTGATAACCACATCACTCAGTGAGTGTCCTGATTGTCTGTGATAACCACATCACTCAGTGAGTGTCCTGATTGTCTGTGATGACAACATCTCTCAGTGAGTGTCCTGATTGTCTGTGATGACCACATCACTCAGTGAGTGTCCTGATTGTCTGTGATGACAACATCACACAGTAGGTGGCTGATAGTAAACATTATGGATTTAGCATCACATGTCTACTACAATAATGGTCGGGCATGGGTAATTTTCTTGGTTTAAAAGCCAATAAAACTGTGTTATTTGTTGAATAATTTCCTTCTCCACATTCTGATAAACAGTTGCATAAGCTGCCAAAAACTTACTGCTAATCAGAGCAATATTCCATACACAAACCACTCCAGCCAAAGGGTAATTATTACAATTTGCTGCATGCATTTTATGTAACTGCTTGGCAATGCTAACTGTTGCAGTGGCATGCTAGCCATGTTAGTGACACAGAAATATTTGCCTCTAGATTTCAATGGCTAGTTAACTATTGAATAGTTCAGAGCTGGTGATTTCTTTCTTCTGCCTCAATATATAATATATGTTCAGTGAACAATTATGAGTGTATACTAATATATTTGTTTCCTCTGCTTCTTTTTCTAATTTTGTCATCTTCGTTCTCATCCACTCCTGACTTGTTATGCATTCGTCTCTTTTTTGTCAACATTCTTTTTTTTTCATGTACCTCTACAACTGTTTCCTCTATTTGTGGACCTCCTCCTCTTCCTCTTCTAATAACTCCCCCTCCACGCCAGCCCCACTTCTTTTCTTCATATCCTTCGCTTCTTGGTCTCCTTTTTTGTCTGCTCTTGTTGATGTATCTGCTGTTGTGTGTGTGTGTGTGTATGTTTGTCTGTGGTTATATCATAAATAAAACTGATTGTGCTGAAGTCAACTGTTAGTTGTTTGTGATTAAACTCTCATGACCATTTCTTTCACCCTTAGGTTTCTGATGAGCCACCCGAAATCTTTCTCCAATGTGTCAGATGAGGATAGCATCATCAACAGAGAGGACAGCGAAGATGGTAGGTTCTGTGGGAAATTGTGTACTTGATGTTGTACAGGCTCTTGTAGTTTAGCTAGCTCTTTCTGTCTCACTCATGGGAGATGAGCATCTGAGAAGAGAGACATTAAAACATGTGATAGCAACAACCGTCCTGGAATCCCATGCTCTAATTGTGAAAGATGATGAGTCTTTCTAGTCACACTTAGCGGGTCTTTCTAGTCAGCGGGTCTTTCTAGTCACACTTAGCTGGTCTTTTTAGTCACACTTAGCGGGTCTTTCTAGTCACACTTAGCTGGTCTTTCTAGTCAGCGGGTCTTTCTAGTCACACTTAGCTGGTCTTTTTAGTCACACTTAGCGGGTCTTTCTAGTCACACTTAGCGGGTCTTTCTAGTCACACTTAGCAGATCTTTCCAGTCATACTTAGCGGGTCTTTCTAGTCACACTTAGCTGGTCTTTGTAGTCACACTTAGCGGATCTTTCTAGTCACACTTGGCGGATTTTTCTAGTCACATTTAGCTGGTCTTTCTAGTCACACTTATCGGATCTTTCTAATCACACTTAGCTGGTCTTTCTAGTCACACTTAGCGGGTCATTCTAGTCACACTTAGCGGTTCTTTCTAGTCACACTCAGTGGGTCTTTCTAGTCACACTTAGCTGGTCTTTCTAGTCACATTTAGCTGGTCTTTCTAGTCACACTTAGTGGGTCTTTCTAGTCATACTTAGCGGGTCTTTCTAGTCACACTTAGCGGGTCATTCTAGTCACACTTAGCGGGTCTTTCTAGTCACACTTAGTTGGTCTTTCTAGTCACCTTAGCGGGTCTTTCTAGTCACACTTAGCTGGTCTTTCTAGTCACACTTAGCTGGTCTTTCTAGTCACACTTAGCGGGTCTTTCTAGTCACACTTAGCTGGTCTTTCTAGTCACACTTAGCGGGTCTTTCTAGTCACACTTATCGGGTCTTTCTAGTCACACTTGGTGGATCTTTCTAGTCACATTTAGCTGGTCTTTCTAGTCACACTTAGCGGATCTTTCTAATCACACTTAGCTGGTCTTTCTAGTCACACTTAGCGGGTAATTCTAGTCATACTTAGGGGTTCTTTCTAGTCACACTCAGCGGGTCTTTCTAGTCAGACTTAGCTGGTCTTTCTAGTCACATTTAGCTGGTCTTTCTAGTCACACTTAGCGGGTCTTTCTAGTCACACTTAGTTGGTCTTTCTAGTCACACTTAGCGGGTCTTTCTAGTCACACTTAGCGGGTCTTTCTAGTCACACTTAGCGGGTCTTTCTAGTCACACTTAGCAGGTCTTTCTAGTCACACTTACCATCACCATGCTCAGTGAGTCCTAGAAGCACCATATAACACCATCATCTGGACAGATGGAAAGGTGCCACCAAAGAACATATTTGTTAGTTAGTTAGTTAGTTAGTTAGTTAGTTAATTAGTTAGTTGGGTTATCATCACTGCACTCTGGACATGTCCATAGGTGCTCAGATCCTCCTCTCAGTATGAACCCCAACGTCCGATTGCTAATAGTACCAGTTGTATTTTGATTAACAAGTCTTCTGGTGTGTCTGGTGTGCGTCTCGTTTTTTGCTATGCCGATCTTAATTCCCAAGTCTGCCATTCTGGCGAGTGATGTGGATTCACTGCCCCTGAAGTCCTCTATCCTTCCTATTTCTCTGAGGGCATAAATAATATCAGCATGATCCATAGGCTGAACGTCGGTAGTGATAGAGGATCCAGCCAACCTGTCAGCTCTTTCATTTCCATTTGTCTCTCCAAACAACATTTGTCCTACTTGTATATGTGATTATGAACACTGATGACCCATGCTGCACCATAAAGATGATGAACACTGATGACCCGTTCACCATATATGTGATGATGAACACTGATGACCCATGCACCATATGTGATGATGAACACTGACGACCCATGCACCAGTGCACGATTCTTGATTCTCTGTATCAAATTCATGATTGATGTTCCTCCATGCCCTGACCCTAGATGTTCTGATACAAATTCATCAATGATATTCTTCCATGTTTTTGCTGTAGATATTCTACTACACATCTCTTCCTCTGCCGTTTCCACTACTAATCTCTGAAGTCATCGCAGTGTCCACCAAAACTTATCTTCTCATTTTTCAACCAAAGAAACGTTTTTCTTTCTCTAAGTTCCACAGTATGTTCTGCAATCCTCTTTCAAGTTATCAAAAACATACATCTAATAAACTACACCTGCTCATGCTGAAGTCTTGTCCTAGTTTGTCCCCATTGCAAGATTCCCCTCCATCACCATTGTCTGACTGTCCACACTACAAGGTTCCCCTCCATCACCATTGTCTGACTGTTCACACTGCAAGATTCCCCTCCATCACCATTGTCTGATTGTCCACACTACAAGGTTCCCCTCCATCACCATTGTCTGACTGTTCACACTGCAAGATTCCCCTCCATTACCATTGTCTGACTGTCCACACTACAAGGTTCCCCTCCATCACCATTGTCTGACTGTTCACATTGCAAGATTCCCCACCATCACCATTGTCTGACAGTCCAGATTCTAAGATTCTTCCTCCATCAACTGACTGTCTATATCCCAAGATTCTTCATCCATCACCATTGTCTAACTGACTGTCCATTTCCCAAGATTCTTCCTCCATCACCATTGTCTAACTGACTGTCCATATCCCAAGATTCTTCTTCCATCACAGTTGTCTAACTGACTGTCCATATTCCAAGATTATTCCTCCATCACCATTGTCTAACTGACTGTCCACATCCCTTGATTATTCCTCCATCACCATTGTCTAACTGCCTGTCTATATCCCAAGATTCTTCCTCCATCACCATTGTCTAACTGACTGTCCATATCCCTTGATCATTCCTCCATCACCATTGTCTAACTGACTGTCCATATCCCAAGATTCTTCTTCCATCACAGTTGTCTAACTGACTGTCCATATTCCAAGATTATTCCTCCATCACCATTGTCTAACTGACTGTCCACATCCCCTGATTATTCCTCCATCACCATTGTCTAACTGCCTGTCTATATCCCAAGATTCTTCCTCCATCACCATTGTCTAACTGACTGTCCATATCCCTTGATCATTCCTCCATCACCATTGTCTAACTGACTGTCTATATCCCAAGATTCTTGCTCCATCACAGTTGTCTAACTGACTGTCTATATCCCAAGATTCTTCTTCCATCACCATTGTCTAACTGACTGTCTATATCCCAAGATTCTTCTTCCATCACCATTGTCTAACTGACTGTCTATATCCCAAGATTCTTCTTCCATCACAGTTGTCTAATTGACTGTCTATATCCCAAGATTCTTCTTCCATCACCATTGTCTAACTGCCTGTCTATATCCCAAGATTCTTCCTCCATCACCATTGTCTAACTGACTGTCCATATCCCTTGATCATTCCTCCATCACCATTGTCTAACTGACTGTCTATATCCCAAGATTCTTGCTCCATCACAGTTGTCTAACTGACTGTCTATATCCCAAGATTCTTCTTCCATCACCATTGTCTAACTGACTGTCTATATCCCAGGATTCTTCTTCCATCACCATTGTCTAACTGACTGTCTATATCCCAAGATTCTTCTTCCATCACAGTTGTCTAATTGACTGTCTATATCCCAAGATTCTTCTTCCATCACCATTGTCTAACTGACTGTCCATATTCCAAGATTCTTCTTCCATCACCATTGTCTAACTGACTGTCTATATCCCAAGATTCTTCTTCCATCACCATTGTCTATCTGACTGTCCATATCCCAAGATTCTTCTTCCATCACCATTGTCTAACTGACTGTCCATATTCCAAGATTCTTCTTCCATCACCATTGTCTAACTGACTGTCCATATCCCAAGATTCTTCCTCCTTCACCATTGTCTAACTGACTGTCCATATTCCAAGATTCTTCCTCCATCACCATTGTGTAAATGATTGTTTTTGTTTGGTTATCCCAGAGGTCATCAATGATGATGAGGAGATGCCGCTAGAGATCCCAGTGGTCAAACCACCCAGCTGTGGCAGCTCTACCCAGGTAGGTGATCTGATTGCTGGGGGGTGACTAGCACACTTGCCTGCCAGAAATGGTCGGGGAAGTAAGGCTGTTCAGTTGCTATCAACAATTATAGGATCTATATCTAGCAATTTCATGATGGCCTCCTCTCTTTGTTTCAAATGTGTTCCAACTTCAAAGGAACCATCGATAAATAGTCTACTTTTATGGGGGGGGGGGGGGGGGGGAGGGGGGGGGGGGGTGGGGGTTCATATTTTTTACCCCCTACAATGGGAGAAAACCCAGAACCTACATGTGGATAGGCTCCCATAACTGTTGCCAGTTGTCTACTGGGCTTTCATGTTTTCAGGCCTCATCTCAAATATTCAAAACTTCTTGCGGGGAAGTCTACATCTATAATATCTGTAATGAATCTATGGTTTTCATGTCTGAAATAACTGTCTGATTCTTGTTTCTGTGAATACATGATATTTGCATTTCTGTTGCCATTAGTTATTTCTCAGCTCGGCAGTTTACTACCATGTTTCCCAAGCAGGCTTCAGTATGGTATGTACAGTAGACTTGATATTATGATTACAACAAGAATCAACCAGTACAACTATATATCTATCTATATATATAAATATTTCATTTCAGACAAAGATTGCTCAACATTCTGTGTTTCTTAAACTCCCAATTTGCAGGTTCATGTTTCCGAACAAGGCCATGCTGAAGATATGTTGAACCTGCCCACATTTGGCGATGAAGCGGTGCCTCCGCGAGATATGGCTGACAACATCCACCTGCTCACAGAAGAAACCCTCAAGAAACACACCAAAATTCAAGAGAGACTCTATCTCCAGAGGATAGCTGAAGAGCAGCCTCTGTTGTTGAACATGCGAAGGATACGGGTAGGGACTGTGACTTCTGTGTACAATGAATACAACTTTTTCTTATGATAATAACTGTTGGATATAAAGTGATTAATGCAAACAATAACATTGTATTGATGCTCGCATGTGGAGAAGGATTACATGAACGTTGCTGAGAAACTCCACATGTGATCTATAGAGGGAGATCACTAGATAAACAGATGACTAAACAAATCTAGACCAAACGAAGCAATCGTTAAATGTTGTTACTGGTCATCTTAAAACTGTTGGGTTGTCTGCACTTGGCAATGCAAATCAATTGTTGTAAAGGCACAGATGTTCTGCTGCTTCTCATGTGAACTCTTGGAGTCAGCTCACAAGTGAACTCTTGGAGTCAGCTGACATGTGAACTCTTGGAGTCAGCTGACAAGTGAACTCTTGGAGTCAGCTGACATGTGAACTCTTGGAGTCAGCTGACATGTGAACTCTTGGAGTCAGCTGACATGTGAACTCTTGGAGTCAGCTGACATGTGAACTCTTGGAGTCAGCTCACAAGTGAGGAAGACAAATGTCAGCTCACAAGTGAGGAGGGCAAATGTCAGCTGACAAGTGAGGAAGGCAAATGTCAGCTCACAAGTGAGGAAGACAAATGTCAGCTCACAAGTGAGGAGGGCAAATGTCAGCTGACAAGTGAGGAAGGCAAATGTCAGCTCACAAGTGAGGAAGGCAAATGTCAGCTCACAAGTGAGGAAGGCAAATGTCAGCTCACAAGTGAGGAAGGCAAATGTCAGCTTACAAGTGAGGAAGGCAAATGTCAGCTCACAAGTGAGGAAGACAAATGTCAGCTCACAAGTGAGGAAGACAAATGTCAGCTCACAAGTGAGGAAGACAAATGTCAGCTCACAAGTGAGGAAGACAAATGTCAGCTGACATGTGAGGAAGACAGATGTAGCAGTATTTTCTCATACAGTCTATGTTAAGAATTAGTACATTGTTATTTATTGTTTTTACCATGTGACATTTATAATGTTAGGATTAGGGTGTGGTTTACATGAAATTATACTAGAAGCCTTGCTGGTGACAAAAGAACTAGAAGCCTTGCTGGTGACAAAAGAACTAGAAGCCTTGCTGGTGACAAAAGAACTAGAAGCCTTGCTGGTGACAAAAGAACTAGAAGCCTTGCTGGTGACAAAAGAACTAGAAGCCTTGCTGGTGACAAAAGAACTAGGAGCCTTGCTGGTGACAAAAGAACTAGAAGCCTTGCTGGTGACAAAAGAACTAGGAGCCTTGCTGGTGACAAAAGAACTAGGAGCCTTGCTGGTGACAAAAGAACTAGGAGCCTTGCTGGTGACAAAAGAACTAGGAACCTTGCTGGTGACAAAAGAACTAGGAGCCTTGCTGGTGACAAAAGAACTAGGAACCCAACAACTGCTGGATATTGTGGAGTACTTTCATCGAACATTAAGAAAACGGAAGCAATGGGTATATCAAAAAAAAAAGAAGATAACTCCATGTTGTGATATCTCAATGGAAGACAAAAGACTTAACCAAGTCAATAAATTCAAATATCTAGGAACAATCATATCATCAGACAGAAAATTAGTGTGATAGAGATTAGAAGCAGAATAGGTCAAGTGAAAGCTGCATTTCAGAAAATAAAAAATTTCTTATGCAATAAATTGATGTCATTTAATTTCAGAAAGAGGGTGCTAAAATTTTAGATAGAACCTGTTCAACAAATCTATGGCAGCAAATCTTTGGAAAGACTTTGAACGAATTAGAAGGAGATGCATGAGCGCCTACACCAGTTGGCAGGGCACATGATGATGATGAATCTTGTCCTGTGCTTGGATGTTATAGTTTCAATTGTGTTATGTGGTTGGATGTTATAGTTTCAATTGTGTTATGTGGTTGGATGTTATAGTTTCAATTGTGTTTGTGGTTGGATGTTATAGTTTCAATTGTGTTATGTGGTTGGATGTTATAGTTTCAATTGTGCCATGTGGTTGGATGTTATAGTTTCAATTGTGCCATGTGGTTGGATGTTATAGTTTCAATTGTGTTATGTGGTTGGATGTTATAGTTTCAATTGTGTTATGTGGTTGGATGTTATAGTTTCAATTGTGTTATGTGGTTGGATGTTATAGTTTCAATTGTGTTATGTGGTTGGATGTTATAGTTTCAATTGTGTTATGTGGTTGGATGTTATAGTTTCAATTGTGTTATGTGGTTGGATGTTATAGTTTCAATTGTGCCATGTGGTTGGATGTTATAGTTTCAATTGTGCCATGTGGTTGGATGTTATAGTTTCAATTGTGCCATGTGGTTGGATGTTATAGTTTTAATTGTGTCATGTGGTTGGATGTTATAGTTTTAATTGTGTTATGTGGTTGGATATAATAGTTTCAATTGTGCCATATGGTTGGATGTTATAGTTTCATGCATGTCACGTGGTTGAATGTTATAGTTTCAATTGTGTCACATGGTTGGATGCTATAGTTTCAAACGTGTCATGTGGCTGGATGTATTGTTTAAATCATATCATGTGCGTCAATGTTATAGCCAAAATTTATGTTCTGTAAGAAATTAGCTTGTACTTGTTGTTAAGTATCATTGCATTTCTACCTTCAGTGCTCGAGAAATGGCTCTCATCAAAAACGGCCCAGAATTCGAGAAGCTGGAGAAGAAGTGGAAGCAGCCAAACATCCGTGCACTAACAGTGGAGTGTTCCGCTCCAGGTAAGTAACATTGTGGAACATTCATGGCTTTGTTTGGCTTATGCCTTTCATCTTCTCATGAAACACAGGCTTCAGTCAACTCAGTCAAAGTCTCGTATGCACTGTTGCAGGACTGAACTGGTTATTTGATGACTTGACTGAGTCTGTAGATAAAGTTCACTATGGAATCTGTAGGGGCCAGAACTGAGACCACACTCACTGTGGTGTAGCGGCTAGAGCACAAACCTCTCAAGGCAGTGCTGTGAAAGAAATCCATATTAGAGAGAGGATTATTTTATTCCAATGAGTGCAGCTTTACACAGTTGTACCATCATCATTAAAATCCAGGCCAGGAAACTTTCAGATTTGCTTGGAAGGAAGATACCCCCACCCCCTTTTTCCTTTTTTTTTACCCGCTTCACCTCACCATATATCACAGCCTAGCTTTTGCAAATACCTAACAGTTTATTTATACCCCAGTTGCAATTAAAATGCATGGGGCAGTTTTTTTTTAAACCAATTTTGATGAGGGGGGGGCACTGTATTGATTACAGTGAAGGATGTGACGTTTTTGATTGATCAATGAGTTTGTTATACTTGAAAGTTGACTACCCCGAGATTAAAACAAAATGGATGGCAGAACAACAGGGCAGATCCCATACACTTCTCCAGCCTCCACAAAAATTATAATTAGTCAGGCACCTGAAATGGCTACAGTAGCCAGTGTCACCTAATGGTTATAGTAGCCAGTGTCACCTAATGGCTACAGTAGCCAGTGTCACCTAATGGTTATAGTAGCCAGTGTCACCTAATGGCTACAGTAGCCAGTGTCACCTAATGGTTATAGTAGCCAGTGTCACCTAATGGCTACAGTAGCCAGTGTCACCAAATGGCTACAATAGCCAATGTCACCAAATGGCTACAGTAGCCAATGTCACCTAATGGCTACAGTAGCCAATGTCACCTAATGGCTACAGTAGCCAATGTCACCTAATGGTTATAGTAGCCAGTGTCACCTAATGGCTACAGTAGCCAGTGTCACCTAATGGCTACAGTAGCCAGTGTCACCTAATGGCTACAATAGCCAATGTCACCAAATGGCTACAGTAGCCAATGTCACCTAATGGCTACAGTAGCCAGTGTCACCTAATGGCTACAGTAGCCAGTGTCACCTAATGGCTACAGTAGCCAGTGTCACCTAATGGCTACAGTAGCCAGTGTCACCTGAAGTCTTCTGCTGGTAGCAAAAGTGCACAACAACCATTTTCCATGCCCTGTAGATGTATAGATCAAATATTAATTGGCGATATGATTAATTTTATACTGACTGTTTCTACTTGCCCGAACATTTCCTACAACCAGTTTGAGGCTGCATTAACCCGGCAGGCCAGAGAAATAAAACATACACCCTTACTTCCAGAAAAATGTGAACATCTGGCCACTGACTTCACACAAACACAGACCACAGGACTTTCCGTGTGGGATCCTGGGTCCCATTCTTGGGGGGTGGGGGGGGGGGGAACAATAGACCCATTGCCTTTCTAGCAAGCATGTCATAATATTTAAGTAGGGGATAGAAATTAGATATGGACACAACCCAGACATTCTGTCCGATTCTAAAGCTTTTAAAAACAGAGAAGATAAAGAAGATCTTCTCTCTGCCTCTGATAACACAGACTTGTTCATATGTTTCCATTAGCTCTAATGACACAGACTTGTTCATATGTTTCCATTAGCTCTAATGACACAGACTTGTTCATATGTTTCCACTAGCTCTAATGACACAGACTTGTTCATGTTTCCACTAGCTCTAATGACACAGACTTGTTCATGTTTCCACTAGCTCTAATAACACAGACTTGTTCATGTTTCCACTAGCTCTAATGACACAGACTTGTTCATATGTTTCCACTAGCTCTAATAACACAGACTTGTTCATGTTTCCACTAGCTCTAATGACACAGACTTGTTCATATGTTTCCACTAGCTATAATAACACAGACTTGTTCATGTTTCCACTAGCTCTAATAACACAGACTTGTTCATATGTTTCCACTAGCTCTAATAACACAGACTTGTTCATATGTTTCCACTAGCTTTAAAAACACAGACTTGTTCATATGTTTCCACTAGCTTTAAAAACACAGACTTGTTCATATGTTTCCACTAGCTTTAAAAACACAGACTTGTTCATATGTTTCCACTAGCTCTAAAAACAGAGACTTGTTCATATGTTTCCACTAGCTCTAATAACACAGACTTGTTCATATGTTTCCACTAGCTCTAATAACACAGACTTGTTCATATGTTTCCACTAGCTCTAATAACACAGACTTGTTCATATGTTTCCACTAGCTCCAATAACACAGACTTGTTCATATGTTTCCACTAGCTCTAATAACACAGACTTTTTCATGTTTCCACTAGCTCTAATAACACAGAGTTGTTCATGTTTCCACTAGCTCTAATAACACAGACTTGTTCATATGTTTCCACTAGCTCTAATAACACAGACTTGTTCATATGTTTCCACTAGCTATAATAACACAGACTTGTTCATATGTTTCCACTAGCTCTAATCACACAGACTTGTTCATATGTTTCCACTAGCTCCAATAACACAGACTTGTTCATATGTTTCCACTAGCTATAATAACACAGACTTGTTCATATGTTTCCACTAGCTCTAATAACACAGACTTGTTTTTATGTTTCCGCTAGCTCCAATAACACAGACTTGTTCATATGTTTCCACTAGCTATAATAACACAGACTTGTTTATATGTTTCCACTAGCTCCAATAACACAGACTTGTTCATATGTTTCCACTAGCTCCAATAACACAGACTTGTTCATATGTTTCCACTAGCTCTAATAACACAGACTTGTTCATATGTTTCCACTAGCTCCAATAACACAGACTTGTTCATATGTTTCCACTAGCTCTAATAACACAGACTTGTTCATATGTTTCCACTAGCTCTAATTACACAGACTTGTTCATATGTTTCCACTAGCTCTAATAACACAGACTTGTTCATATGTTTCCACTAGCTCTAATCACACAGACTTGTTCATGTTTCCACTAGCTCTAATGACACAGACTTGTTCATATGTTTCCACTAGCTCCAATAACACAGACTTGTTCATATGTTTCCACTAGCTCTAATAACACAGACTTGTTCATATGTTTCCACTAGCTCTAATCACACAGACTTGTTCATATGTTTCCACTAGCTCTAATAACACAGACTTGTTCATATGTTTCCACTAGCTCTAATCACACAGACTTGTTCATATGTTTCCACTAGCTCTAATCACACAGACTTGTTCATATGTTTCCACTAGCTCTAATCACACAGACTTGTTCATATGTTTCCACTAGCTCTAATAACACAGACTTCTTCATATGTTTCCTCTAGCTCTAATAATTGTTTCCCACTAGCTCTAATAACACAGACTTCTTCATATGTTTCCTCTAGCTCTAATAAGACAGACTTGTTTAGATGTTTCCTCTAGCTCTAATAAGACAGACTTGTTCATATGTTTCCACTAGCTCTAATAACACAGACTTGTTCATATGTTTCCTCTAGCTCTAATGACACAGACTTGTTCATATGTTTCCAGTAGCTCCAATAACACAGACTTGTTCATATGTTTCCACTAGCTCTAATCACACAGACTTGTTCATATGTTTCCACTAGCTCTAATCACACAGACTTGTTCATATGTTTCCACTAGCTCTAATAAGACAGACTTGTTCATATGTTTCCTCTAGCTCTAATAAGACAGACTTGTTCATATGTTTCCTCTAGCTCTAATAAGACAGACTTGTTCATATGTTTCCTCTAGCTCTAATAAGACAGACTTGTTCATATGTTTCCACTAGCTCTAATAACACAGACTTGTTCATATGTGTCCTCTAGCTCTAATCACACAGACTTGTTCATATGTTTCCTCTAGCTCTAATAAGACAGACTTGTTCATATGTTTCCACTAGCTCTAATAACACAGACTTGTTCATATGTTTCCTCTAGCTCTAATAAGACAGACTTGTTCATATGTTTCCACTAGCTCTAATCACACAGACTTGTTCATATGTTTCCACTAGCTCTAATAACACAGACTTGTTCATATGTTTCCACTAGCTCTAATCACACAGACTTGTTCATATGTTTCCACTAGCTCTAATAACACAGACTTGTTCATATGTTTCCACTAGCTCCAATAACACAGACTTGTTCATATGTTTCCACTAGCTCTAATAACACAGACTTGTTCATATGTTTCCACTAGCTCTAATCACACAGACTTGTTCATATGTTTCCACTAGCTCTAATCACACAGACTTGTTCATATGTTTCCACTAGCTCTAATAAGACAGACTTGTTCATATGTTTCCACTAGCTCTAATAACACAGACTTCTTCATATGTTTCCTCTAGCTCTAATAAGACAGACTTGTTTAGATGTTTCCTCTAGCTCTAATAAGACAGACTTGTTCATATGTTTCCACTAGCTCTAATAACACAGACTTGTTCATATGTTTCCTCTAGCTCTAATGACACAGACTTGTTCATATGTTTCCAGTAGCTCCAATAACACAGACTTGTTCATATGTTTCCACTAGCTCTAATCACACAGACTTGTTCATATGTTTCCACTAGCTCTAATAACACAGACTTGTTCATATGTTTCCTCTAGCTCTAATAAGACAGACTTGTTCATATGTTTCCTCTAGCTCTAATAAGACAGACTTGTTCATATGTTTCCTCTAGCTCTAATAAGACAGACTTGTTCATATGTTTCCTCTAGCTCTAATAACACAGACTTGTTCATATGTTTCCTCTAGCTCTAATAAGACAGACTTGTTCATATGTGTCCTCTAGCTCTAATCACACAGACTTGTTCATATGTTTCCACTAGCTCTAATAAGACAGACTTGTTCATATGTTTCCACTAGCTCTAATAACACAGACTTGTTCATATGTTTCCTCTAGCTCTAATAAGACAGACTTGTTCATATGTTTCCACTAGCTCTAATCACACAGACTTGTTCATATGTTTCCACTAGCTCTAATAACACAGACTTGTTCATATATTTCCACTAGCTCTAATCACACAGACTTGTTCATATGTTTCTACTAGCTCTAATAAGACAGACTTGTTCATATGTTTCCACTAGCTCTAATAAGACAGACTTGTTCATATGTTTCCTCTAGCTCTAATGACACAGACTTGTTCATGTTTCCACTAGCTCTAATAACACAGACTTGTTCATATGTTTCCACTAGCTCTAATAACACAGACTTGTTCATATATTTCCACTAGCTCTAATCACACAGACTTGTTCATATGTTTCCACTAGCTCTAATAAGACAGACTTGTTCATATGTTTCCACTAGCTCTAATAAGACAGACTTGTTCATATGTTTCCACTAGCTCTAATAACACAGACTTGTTCATATGTTTCCACTAGCTCTAATGACACAGACTTGTTCATATGTTTCCACTAGCTCTAATAAGACAGATTTGTTTATATGTTTCCACTAGCTCTAATCACACAGACTTGTTCATATGTTTCCACTAGCTCTAATAACACAGACTTGTTCATATGTTTCCACTAGCTCTAATAACACAGGCTTGTTCATATGTTTCCACTAGCTCTAATCACACAGACTTGTTCATATGTTTCCACTAGCTCTAATCACACAGACTTGTTCATATGTTTCCACTAGCTCCAACATCTTCATGCAGAGTTTCCCAGCTGTGACCTCTAGCAACTTGACCCCAGTGACTGCGTCCTCTCAACCGATGTTTCATCAGGCAAAAATAACAGACAGCCGTCCATTTGAGGGCAGTTTCCTGGGTAAACCAAATCAGATGGGTTTCCAGCCCTTCACTTCAAGTTATCAAATGGGTATGTTTTCACTGTGATGATTGGCACATAACATAATCCTTGACTTGTTATGGTCATAGGTTAGTTGCGTATCCCTTACAGGACGTTGTAGAACCAACCCCAGCAGCTCCTGGCTGTTGTGTGGTTTCTCTAGGCAAATTTACATCCAGTAGTTTGCCATTGCCTCCCGAATGGTCGGCTCTCTGATACTACTGTTAAAACCAATGCACGGCACATGCCCGCAGCTGGGATCGAACCCAGCAAGCCGGCATTACGAAGCGTTCCCATCGACTTAGCCACGAGCCGACTAAAAATTAGTTGCCTATTCTTTTACAGGACATTGCAGAACCAACCCCAGAACTTTCTGGCTGTTTTGGTTTTTCTAGGCAAATTTACGTCCAGTAGTTTGCCATTGCTTTCTGGACAGTCGGCTCTATGTAAAACAGTCGAAACCATTGCAAGACAAACCGTCCGCAGCAGGGGTTGGCCCGGAACCCCGACATTACAAAGCGCGTTCGCAACGCCTAAGCCACAGACTCGTAATGGTCATAGAGATGTATAAATGGAAGCACTAGCTCACAAATCCCACACAATCTTTCTCTGTCTTCCACTTGTTGAAAAAGTATATAAAATTTAGTCCTGTCCATTTCTTGATGTTGTCACTCCAGGTTCTTCTTTGCCCCCTTTTCTTTGACTAGCCTGCTCAATGTTCCTTTGAGTAAAGTCTTTTTAATCAAATCATGTCTTACCACGTGCCTGGACCAAGCTAACTTGTGATGCTTCACCCCTGCCACAAGAGGTTCCTGAAATATGTTTATCTTGTCTCCTAGGTATTTGTTAATTTTCTGAAGTAAAAACCTAATTTTTAATGTTCATCTGTAACATTTATGTTTTAAAGCTTGATTCCTCCTTGTCATTTTTGCAGTGAGAGTCCAACTCTGACAACCGTATGAGAGTATAGACAATACCAGCCACCTGTCCATACTGACCTTTACTGATATGATGATTTTGCTCTCTTTTCTCTCCCCTCTCATTCTCTTCAAACCTCTCTTTTCTCTCCCAACTTTTAAATTCTCTCCCAACCTCTCTTTTCTCCCCCAACTCTCTCAACCTCTCTTTTCTTTCCCAACTCTCTCAACCTCTCTTTTCTCTCCCAACTCTCTCAACCTCTCTTTTCTCTCCCAACTCTCTCATTCTCTCCCAACCTCTTTTCGCTCCCAACTCTCTCATTATGTCCCAACCTCTCTTTTCTCTCCCAACTCTCTCATTCTCTCCCAGCCTCTTTTCTCTCCCAAGTCTCTCATTCTCTCCCAACCTCTCTTTTCTCTCACAACTCTCTCATTCTCTCCCAACCTATCTTTTCTCTCACAACTCTCTCATTCTCTCCCAACCTCTCTTTTCTCTCCAAACTCTCTCATTCTCTCCCAACCTCTCTTTTCTCTCCAAACTCTCTCATTCTCTCCCAACCTCTTTTCTCTCCAAACTCTCATTCTCTCCAAACCTCTTTTCTCTCCAAACTCTCTCATTCTTTCCCAACCTCTCTTTTCTCTCCCGTCTCTCATTCTCTCCCAACCTTCTTTCTCTCCAAACTCTCTCATTCTCTCCCAACCTCTCTTTTCTCTCCAAACTCTCTCATTCTCTCCCAACCTCTTTTCTCTCCAAACTTTCATTCTCTCCCAACTTCCCTTTTATCTCCCAACTCTCTCATTCTCTCTATGATTCTCTCACAGGTACCCAGGGGAACATGAGCCTCCCTGCCCAGCCCACGATTCATCTGGTCCCTGGAGACACAATGTCTGCCTCCTGCCTGCCGTGCACTCTGGGACCACTGATGTCCAACAGTGGCCTTGTTAGCCTTCACAGAGCAACCACACCACAGAACATGCAGTGGCCATACTACCCACAAACTGGTGAGAGATCCTCTTCCTCTTCTTCTCCTCTTTCTTCCCCCTCCCCTCCCCACCCACCTGCTTCTTCTCCACCTCATCTTTTCTACTTCTTTTTTCACCTCTTCCTTTCCTTCTTTGTCTTCTTCATCTACTCACATTTTATCTTCTTTTTCTTGTTCTTCTTGTTCTTCTCCTCCTCTTCCTCCTCCTCCTTCTTCTTCTTCTTTTCCTCCACCTCCTTCTTCTTTTTCTGCTTCTTCTGCTTTGACTTTTCATCTGACATTGGAGAATAGAACCTCAAGAATGCTGCCAAGCCCTTAGTAGATGTCTTCCTGAGTGGCCTGCAGTGATTGGCTCGTTGCAGTGTTACTGCTCTATTTTTAGTTTTGGAGGCCCATTGACGCACGCACACACACACACACACACACACACACACACACCAATTCGTTAACACATTAACATACACATCAACATATACATTAACATACACATTAACATACACATTAACATACACATTAGCATACACCTTAACACACATATTAACATACACGTTAATATACACATTTACATACACATTAACATACACATTAACATACATGGTAACATGCACACTAACATACACATTAACATGCATGTTAAGCACTCAGAGTCATCACAGGAGGGATGAAATCAACCCCCATATTAGAAATGGAGAAAGCTGGGAAAACACAGGCACTATGAGAACACAGAGATACAAAGTTGCAAATACAAGTTGAAAAGTTCCTCAGTTTGCCAAATCACCCCATGAAAAATAGATTTCAGAACCAAGCCTTGGGATGGTAAAAAAGAAGCAGCTTTATACACCAAGCAAAAAGAATATGTAGACAAACTGCTGACCTTCCAGAAATTGGTTGTCCACTTAACAGTATTCCAGAACACACCCCACGGAGAGAGAAATACAAACTAACGGTACAAATCCAGACAAATGTGAAAGGAATATTTGACAAGAAAGAACAAGATAGTGTACAACACAGAATGGCCACCCTCAGTTATATTGATAATGAATATCCACAAGAACAATGGGTCAGAGTCTATACAGATGGGTCCGTAGAAAGTGCAGTTAGAAATGGTGTTGCTGGAGTGTACATAGAATTCCCAGATGGTACTAGGGATAAGTTCAGCGTACCAACCAGAAAGTACTGCCATAACTATGATGCAGAAACTCAGGCTATCAAGATAGCAACAGAGAAACTGCTAAATACCAATCTTGGCTCCCAGTATGTAGTGATGCTGACAGATGCAAAATCAGTACTTGAAGCACTCCAGTCTAGGAAACTACCAGAATTGCAAACACTGCTGACACAACTTAGCCTTCAGCAAAGAGTCGTAATGCAGTGGATACCGTCTCATTGTGGAGTGCCTGGAAATGAGAAAGCTGATCAACTGGCAGGAGAAGGTGCGACAAAAGTGCAGCCGGATGTACCAGTCACATACCACCAAAAGAAAAGAATCATTAAATCAATCAGGAAACCACCAGCCCCAGCACAAGACAACTATTTTTTTTTGGGCAGATCAGAACAAGTCATTATCCTCTGTCTCAGAACAGGGCACAACCGATTACGTAACCACATGTACACAAAATTCAAGATAGGCGTATCAGCCATGTGCACCTGTGGAAAGGTGCCCCAGACAGCAGAGCATGTTCTCCAGGACTGCACCAATTTTGACACATTAAGGCAAACCTTTTGGCCAGAAAGAACAACAGTGGAATGTAAACTTTATGGACCACTGAATGAATTAACAACAACAGTGAAATTTATACAAAAGACAAAATTGCTGATATAGACAACTTATTTCAGGCGAACAAAAGGAGAAGAAGAAGAAATGCAGGTTAACATACATGTTAACATACACATTACGTACATGTTTAACACATGTTAACACAGGTTAACATACATGGTAACATACATATTTTATGGAATTGCTTAAGAAGATATGGAATCAGCAAACACCTACCTGAAGTGGGCAAGAGCTTATGTACACCTGAAGTGGGCAAGAGCTTATGTACACCTGAAGTGGGCTAGAGCTTATGTACACCTGAAGTGGGTAAGAGCTTATGTACACCTGAAGTGGGCTAGAGCTTATGTACACCTGAAGTGGGCAAGAGCTTATGTACACCTGCAGTGGGTAAGAGCTTATGTACACCTGAAGTGGGTAAGAGCTTATGTACACCTGAAGTGGGCAAGAGCTTATGTACACCTGAAGTGGGCAAGAGCTTATGTACACCTGAAGTGGGCAAGAGCTTATGTACACCTGCAGTGGGTAAGAGCTTATGTACACCTGAAGTGGGCAAGAGCTTATGTACACCTGAAGTGGGCAAGAGCTTATGTACACCTGAAGTGGGCAAGAGCTTATGTACACCTGAAGTGGGCAAGAGCTTATGTACACCTGAAGTGGGTAAGAGCTTATGTACACCTGAAGTGGGCTAGAGCTTATGTACACCTGAAGTGGGCAAGAGCTTATGTACACCTGAAGTGGGCAAGAGCTTATGTACACCTGAAGTGGGCAAGAGCTTATGTACACCTGAAGTGGGCTAGAGCTTATGTACACCTGAAGTGGGCTAGAGCTTATGTACACCTGAAGTGGGCAAGAGCTTATGTACACCTGAAGTGGGTAAGAGCTTATGTACACCTGAAGTGGGCAAGAGCTTATGTACATCTGAAGTGGGCAAGAGCTTATGTACACCTGAAGTGGGCAAGAGCTTATGTACACCTGAAGTGGGCAAGAGCTTATGTACACCTGCAGTGGGCAAGAGCTTATGTACACCTGAAGTGGGCAAGAGCTTATGTACACCTGAAGTGGGTAAGAGCTTATGTACACCTGAAGTGGGCAAGAGCTTATGTACATCTGAAGTGGGCAAGAGCTTATGTACACCTGAAGTGGGCAAGAGCTTATGTACACCTGAAGTGGGCTAGAGCTTATGTACACCTGAAGTGGGCAAGAGCTTATGTACACCTGAAGTGGGTAAGAGCTTATGTACACCTGAAGTGGGCTAGAGCTTATGTACACCTGAAGTGGGTAAGAGCTTATGTACACCTGAAGTGGGTAAGAGCTTATGTACACCTGAAGTGGGCAAGAGCTTATGTACACCTGAAGTGGGCAAGAGCTTATGTACACCTGCAGTGGGCAAGAGCTTATGTACACCTGAAGTGGGCAAGAGCTTATGTACACCTGCAGTGGGTAAGAGCTTATGTACACCTGAAGTGGGTAAGAGCTTATGTACACCTGAAGTGGGCAAGAGCTTATGTACACCTGAAGTGCGCAAGAGCTTATGTACACCTGCAGTGGGCAAGAGCTTATGTACACCTGAAGTGGGCAAGAGCTTATGTACACCTGAAGTGGGCTAGAGCTTATGTACACCTGAAGTGGGCTAGAGCTTATGTACACCTGAAGTGGGCAAGAGCTTATGTACACCTGAAGTGGGCTAGAGCTTATGTACACCTGAAGTGGGCTAGAGCTTATGCACACCTGAAGTGGGCAAGAGCTTATGTACACCTGCAGTGGGTAAGAGCTTATGTACACCTGCAGTGGGTAAGAGCTTATGTACACCTGAAGTGGGCAAGAGCTTATGTACACCTGAAGTGGGCAAGAGCTTATGCACACCTGAAGTGGGCTAGAGCTTATGCACACCTGAAGTGGGCTAGAGCTTATGCACACCTGAAGTGGGCAAGAGCTTATGTACACCTGAAGTGGGCAAGAGCTTATGTACACCTGAAGTGCGCAAGAGCTTATGTACACCTGAAGTGGGTAAGAGCTTATGTACACCTGAAGTGCGCAAGAGCTTATGTACACCTGCAGTGGGTAAGAGCTTATGTACACCTGCAGTGGGTAAGAGCTTATGTACACCTGAAGTGCGCAAGAGCTTATGTACACCTGAAGTGCGCAAGAGCTTATGTACACCTGCAGTGGGTAAGAGCTTATGTACACCTGCAGTGGGCAAGAGCTTATGTACATCTGAAGTGGGCAAGAGCTTATGTACACCTGAAGTGGGCTAGAGCTTATGTACACCTGAAGTGGGCTAGAGCTTATGTACACCTGAAGTGTGTAAGAGCTTATGTACATCTGAAGTGTGTAAGAGCTTATGTACACCTGAAGTGGGCTAGAGCTTATGTACACCTGAAGTGGGCAAGAGCTTATGTACACCTGAAGTGGGCAAGAGCTTATGTACACCTGCAGTGGGCTAGAGCTTATGTACACCTGAAGTGGGCAAGAGCTTATGTACACCTGAAGTGGGCAAGAGCTTATGTACACCTGAAGTGGGTAAGAGCTTATGTACACCTGAAGTGGGTAAGAGCTTATGTACACCTGAAGTGGGCAAGAGCTTATGTACACCTGAAGTGGGCTAGAGCTTATGTACACCTGAAGTGGGCAAGAGCTTATGTACACCTGAAGTGGGCAAGAGCTTATGTACACCTGAAGTGGGCAAGAGCTTATGTACACCTGAAGTGCGCAAGAGCTTATGTACACCTGAAGTGGGCAAGAGCTTATGTACACCTGAAGTGGGCTAGAGCTTATGTACACCTGAAGTGGGCAAGAGCTTATGTACACCTGAAGTGGGCAAGAGCTTATGTACACCTGAAGTGGGCTAGAGCTTATGTACACCTGAAGTGCGCAAGAGCTTATGTACACCTGAAGTGGGCTAGAGCTTATGTACACCTGAAGTGGGCAAGAGCTTATGTACACCTGAAGTGCGCAAGAGCTTATGTACACCTGAAGTGCGCAAGAGATTATGTACACCTGAAGTGCGCAAGAGCTTATGTACACCTGAAGTGGGCAAGAGCTTATGTACACCTGAAGTGGGCAAGAGATTATGTACACCTGAAGTGGGCAAGAGCTTATGTACACCTGAAGTGCGCAAGAGCTTATGTACACCTGAAGTGGGCAAGAGATTATGTACACCTGAAGTGGGCAAGAGCTTATGTACACCTGAAGTGGGCAAGAGCTTATGTACACCTGAAGTGGGCAAGAGATTATGTACACCTGAAGTGGGCAAGAGCTTATGTACACCTGAAGTGCGCAAGAGCTTATGTACACCTGAAGTGGGCAAGAGCTTATGTACACCTGAAGTGGGCAAGAGATTATGTACACCTGAAGTGGGCAAGAGATTATGTACACCTGAAGTGCGCAAGAGCTTATGTACACCTGAAGTGGGCTAGAGCTTATGTACACCTGAAGTGGGCAAGAGATTATGTACACCTGAAGTGGGCAAGAGATTATGTACACCTGAAGTGGGCAAGAGATTATGTACACCTGAAGTGGGTAAGAGATTATGTACATCAAGTAAAAGTTGCATACGAACAAAAGCAGGTACATCGAAACATTTTCAAGTAAATTCAAGAGGAAGAAAGGGATGTGTGCTATCTCCCTTGCTTTTTATAATGTACACAGACAATATATGCAAAGAAGCAGAGAGCGAAGAAAAAGAAAGATATCTCAGAATTGTTATTAATAGTTATTAAAGTATTAATAGCTGAAATAGAAAAGAGTTTACAGAGCCATACACACCAAGCCAATACTAAGTGTGAGAAGTATAATATGAAGATAAGCCTTGAAAAGACAGAGGCAATGGCAATAGGTAGACAAGAAGAAACCATATCAATTAAAGTAAATAACACAGAAATAAAACAAACAAGCACATTGAAATATCTAGAGTCATTACCACTGCTTGTGACCCATAGAAAGATACCTCTGCCAACTAAAGCAAATCTCTTCAGAACATTTTTTGGGGGTGGACATTGTGCTACCACTGCCAAAAATTGACCCTTGCGGCAACTAATAAGCCGAAGATTGTAACAACAGAGATGAGATGTCTTGGGAGAGCTGCTGGTGTGACAAGAAGAGATAAAATAAGGAATGAATAAATTAGAAGAAGACTAGGACTGAAACCAATCATACAATTCATCAAATAACAACACATGAGATGGTTTGGCCACCTGACGAGAATGTCCTGGTACCAACTGCCACAGAGAGCCACGTTAAAGAAATATAATGAACACAGAGCTAGGGAAAGACCACGCAAGAGATGGAGCAACATCACCAGGAGCAACCTAACAGAAATGAACACCAACTTGTACAATGCATTGGAAAAAGTGCACATACAATTCTTACGTCTGCCCTCAACACCTCGCCGAGGTCAAAGGTGACAGAGATTAAGAAGACCCTGATATAGTTTTTAATTAATTCCAGGGTATGTCCTAAAATATTTCTGTATGTGCCAGGGTATACACTGATTACCATTCAATGATTCTGTACTTGCCAGGGTAAACACTGATTACCATTCAATGATTCTGTATGTTCCAAGGTAAACACTGATTACCATTCAATGATTCTGTACTTGCCAGGGTATACACTGATTACCATTCAATGATTCTGTACTTGCCAGGGTATACACTGATTACCATTCAATGATTCTGTATGTGCCAGGGTATACGCTGATTAACATTCAGAGATTCTGTATGTGTCAGGGTATACACTGATTAACATTCAGTGATTCTGTATGTGCCAGGGTATACACTGATTACCATTTAATGATTCTGTACTTGCCAGGGTAAACACTGATTACCATTCAATGATTCTGTATGTTCCAGGGTAAACACTGATTACCATTCAATGATTCTGTACTTGCCAGGGTAAACACTGATTACCATTCAATGATTCTGTATGTTCCAGGGTAAACACTGATTACCATTCAATGATTCTGTACTTGCCAGGGTATACACTGATTACCATTCAATGATTCTGTATGTGCCAGGGTATACACTGATTAACATTAAGAGATTCTGTATGTGCCAGGATATACGCTGAAGTACATTTAATAATTCTGTATGTGCCAGGGTATACGCTGATTAACATTCAGAGATTCTGTATGTGCCAGAGTATACACTGATTAACATTCAGTGATTCTGTATGTGCCAGGGTATACACTGATTAACATTAAGAGATTCTGTATGTGCCAGGGTATACACTGATTAACATTAAGAGATTCTGTATGTGCCAGGGTATACACTGATTAACATTAAGAGATTCTGTATGTGCCAGGGTATACGCTGATTAACATTCAGTGATTCTGTATGTGCCAGGGTATACACTGATTAACATTAAGAGATTCTGTATGTGCCAGGGTATACACTGATTAACATTAAGAGATTCTGTATGTGCCAGGGTATACACTGATTAACATTAAGAGATTCTGTATGTGCCAGGGTATACACTGATTAACATTAAGAGATTCTGTATGTGCCAGGGTATACACTGATTACATTAAGAGATTCTGTATGTGCCAGGGTATACACTGATTAACATTAAGAGATTCTGTATGTGCCAGGGTATACACTGATTAACATTAAGAGATTCTGTATGTGCCAGGGTATACACTGATTAACATTAAGAGATTCTGTATGTGCCAGGGTATACACTGATTAACATTAAGAGATTCTGTATGTGCCAGGGTATACACTGATTAACATTAAGAGATTCTGTATTTGCCAGGGTATACGCTGATTAACATTCAGAGATTCTGTATGTGCCAGGGTATACGCTGAAGTACATTCAATAATTCTGTATTTGCCAGGGTATACGCTCTTGCCGCAGGTCATGACTGGATTTTACAGACCATTACTTCAGCCTGTTCAGGTTCAGACCCTTGCGCCACAGAATGCAGGGTTTGGCATGGTTCCCATTTCCCAAGAACCTTTGGCACAAGATGAGACTCTAGGGTTGCAGGTGAGAAAACATAGAGGTCTTATTTGATGCGTTATGCCTGTTGCAATAAGTCCATTTCTGTGGAGATTAGGACAAAAATGATTCCATGCCATGTAGAACCAGTTTTTCTCTTAGTGTTCACCAGCTATATTATTATGTAATGGAACATCAAAGAGTTTATGCAACTCATTAATTCTATGTTACTATGTAATGGAACATCAAAGAGTTTATGCAACTCATTAATTCTATGTTACTATGTAATGGAACATCAAAGAGTTTATGCAACTCATTAATTCTATGTTACTATGTAATGGAACATCAAAGAGTTTATGCAACTCATTAATTCTATGATACTATTTAATGGAACATCAAAGAGTTTATGCAACTCATTAATTCTATGTTACTATGTAATGGAACATCAAAGAGTTTATGCAACTCATTAATTCTATGTTACTATGTAATGGAACATCAATGAGTTTATGCAACTCATTAATTCTATGTTACTATCTAATGGAACATCAATGAGTTTATGCAACTCATTAATTCTGTGTTACTTTGTAATGGAACAGTCACTGAGATGTTATGTATCATTAATGTCATGTGACTCGAATCTTCACTACAGCCTGCAAAGAGGAGCAAGATAGACAACTCGGAGAAAAAAAATGGTGATTCTGACAATCCACAGTCCTCTGTAGATGACACAACATCATCGATCATGTACTTGCTAGAAGCTGACAGCTCAACATTTGAGGTGTGTTCCTGTGTGAATGACAGTTAACATTTAAGGTGTGTACATGTGTGAATGACAGTTAACATTTGAGGTATATACCTGTGTGAATGACAGTTAACATTTGAGGTGTGTTCATGTGTGAATGACAGTTAACATTTGAGGTATGTACCTGTGTTAATAACAGTTAACATTTGAGGTGTGTACCTGTGTGAATGACAGTTAACATTTGAAGTGTTGACCTGTGTGGAGGACAGTTAACATTTAAGGTATGTACCTGTGTGAATGACAGTTAACATTTGATGTATGTACCTGTGTGAATGACAGTTAACATTTGAGGTATGTACCTGTGTGAATGACAGTTAACATTTGAGGTATGCACATGTGTGAATGACAGTTAACATTTGAGGTATGTACATGTGTGAAATGACAGGTAACATTTGAGGTATGTACCTGTGTGAATGACAGTTAACATTTGAGGACCAGCAGAGGTCTTGCAGTGGATACCAGCCCACTGTGGTATTCAAGGAAATTAGAGATCAGATGAGTTGGCAAAAGCTGGGAGTAATCTTTCACAACCTCATCCACCACACAGCTACAAGGAAACCAAAACAGCGCTAAAGCAGTCTTTCAATCGGGAGTGGAGAAGGCAGAATGGAGATTACAGACTAGAGAGTGACAGCATAAACAAACTTAACAGGAAAGAACAAACAACAATTTTTAGACTTCGGCCTGGACACTGTGGTCTTCGAGCACACCTGTACAGGATAGGCATAAAAGAATCTGCTGCCTGTGATTGTGGAGCAGAAAGACAGACCCCTGGGCACATACTACAGTACTGCCCTTACCTCTCCCAGCAAAGACTGTGGATCTGGCCCAAGGGAGCCACAATGAAAGAGAAGCTATGGGGGACCGGTGGCGACCTTAAACGCACAATCCTATTTGTGACTCAGACGGGACTCAATGTTTAGCATGACTGATGTCGAACGCAGAAGAAGAAGAAGAAATTTGTGGTATGTACATGTGTGAATGACAGCCTTATATATGAGTTATGTACATGTTTGATTATGCACTTATGTGTAATGTTTATGTCTGAGTTTATGTACATGATTGATTATGCACTTATGTGTAATGTTTATGTCTGAGTTTATCAACATGATTGATTATGCACTTATGTGTAATGTTTATGTCTGAGTTTATGTACATGATTGATTATGCACTTATGTGTAATGTTTATGTCTGAGATTATGTACATGTTTGATTACGCACTTATGTGTAATGTTTATGTTTCAAATATGAATTAGTGTCTTTATTTAGTTACGGGTCTCCTTGGAAGTCTTCTGTCCACTCTCAGCCAAAAGTCATTATCAAATCTAAAACAATTTTAGGACTCTGACAATAAAGCTAGTACTGGAATGACTCAGTCCAGAGTCAAGAACAGGCGATCTCCTGAGTCACCATGGTTACGAGGTGTCAAATGGAATGCAGATACAAAAATGAGGTAAAAATATTTTGTTCCTTTCGTACATTAAAAAAAAAAAAAAAAATCTAGTCCTAAGTTTTATGACTGTACATTATATAAAATGTAATACAATTTGTGCTTTCTTGGAAAATACCATACTTTTAAATTTGTTTATTAATGTGTTCTTTCTATAATATTAAATTATCATCTCCCTGTCCTTCTGTCCCCCACCTGATTATTTAGAATGGTTCACAAACTACTTTCAGATCCTTATATTCAAACTGTCTTCAGCATTTCTCAGAGCAGATCTACTTTTAGCTGTCAACATTCTATCTTCAGCATTTCTCAGAGCAGATCTACTTTTAGCTGTCAACATTCTGTCTTCAGCATTTCTCAGAGCAGATCTACTTTTGGCTGTCAACATTCTGTCTTCAGCATTTCTCAGAGCAGATCTACTTTTGGCCGATAACATTAACTCCTTAAAGAAGCATCATGTTTCTGTGTGCTGCTCTGTTGTAAATATAAGTAGGTTAATTCTGCAAAACTAAATAACATGTAAATATGAGAATGTTAATTATGCTAAACAAAATAGCATGTAAGTATAAGAATATTAATTCTGCTAAACAAAATAACATGTAAGTATAAGAATTTTAATTCTGCTAAACAAAATAACATGTGAGAATAAAAATGGTAATTCTGCTAAACAAAATAACATGTAAGTATAAGAATGTTAATTCTGCTAAACAAAATAACATGTAAATAAATTACAGAGAACTTGTTCTAGTATGGGACACAATTTTTGATATTTTTAAGCCAAACTTTGGCTATCATGGGGGCCTTAAATCTAATCTATGTGGTTATCTATGTGGTTATCTATGTGGTTATCTATGTGGTTATCTATGTGGTTGAACGAGGTTTCTGGGACTTGGTCTGGGTGATTCTCATCGGGATGGGGGCAACTTTTTTCACTGGGTGTTTTTAGCTTGTAGTGTGGTCTGTCAATCATTCAATCAATCAAACCGGTAAATATGAGAATGTTAATTCTGCTTAACAAAATAACAAACTGGTAAACATCTTGATGCCAGGTACACAATGCCAAAGAGAAAAACATTCCTGGTCCTCAAGATGGATGATAAAATGCTGAAAAAGACTAAACAGAGTGATTTAGTGCAGAGCAGCTTGGAGCAACTTTTACGAGAAATTTCATCGCCTGAACATGAAGATCCTATGGTGGGTACTTGTTGAATAGTCATGTGGTTATTCAGACCTTTTTGGATACTTCTTAAATAGTCATGTGTTTATTCAAACATTTATGGAACCTCCATGGTGGGTACTTGTCAAATAGGAATGTGTGTATTCAGACATTTAGTGAATGTCCATAGCTGGTAGTAGTTGGATATAGATTGCAAGCATTTATTTACAGTTCAGTGTTTCTGGCCAAAGATTTGTAATCATACATTTGATCATGCTTCAATACTAGGTTTTGATCAAATGAAATATCAGAAAGCTGAATTTGTCTGTTGAGTTGGAATGGTCTGGTTTCCTAATTTATGTGGGGTCTTGATGATCTTGAAAGCTCTTTGCTGATTCAGGTGCTGCCTTGATGATCTTGAAAGCTCTTTGCTGATTCAGGTGCTGCCTTGATGATCTTGAAAGCTCTTTGCTACCATAAAGAAGGCGTAACTATAATGAGTGCTGCTGGACAGCCCACAACCACACCTGCCACACAATGTCAGCACTCGACAGACAGCCATCAGATGCTCACTCCACACAGTCAAAACTCTGAAGATGACCATCAGTTGGCCACTGGTGAGATGTTGACCACATCATCCACTGAGTGCTGTTT